AATGGACGGATAGGTGTGGGTGTCGGTGTGGGTGTGGGTGTGTATCTTATCCTCATCATACTATACCCCATACCCACTCCCATACACCAACGCCCACACCCACAACCAAACCCACACCCACACTCACAACCACCCACACCCATAGGATAATAAATATTATACCGGTTTTTCATTGGAGTTTAAGTTAAAAAGCTACTCTTATCTAATGCCATTCATTACTAAAATGTGTAGAAGCATCACAATTGTTGTACTCTGATTTAATTGAATATCTTCGAGTATAACTTTGATACTTCTATTAAAAGTTTCATTAAATAAATAATAAGAAAATCGAGTAGAATTTTCACCAGATGAAAAAATGAGAAGTTCATCAAATTTCTACAAGATTTAATCTCTCAAACTTCCATGGTTTCATATTTTTGCATCAGTTGTAGAAAGATTAAGACCATTATGGCACAAAGAATTACTTCATATGAATTAAGTTTAAGAGAGAAAACAATCATTCTGATTTATTTATTTGATATTTCTACAAACATAAAATAAGTAAATAAGCAAATAAATTTTAAGGTTCATTACTAATGGAAATTATATCAAAACTGATTTACAAGTATATTGAATAAGTTAATAAGATCAAGATAAAACACTCTTTTATTTCGGTGCAAAGATTTGTTTTTTAACGATATTTAATAGTAAAAATTGGGTCAATGAAGATAACGTCAATATATTGATCGTTTAAAAGGACGTTCAGCATCTCATTTAACGGCATTTACTATTCTGTCATCTCTTTTTTAATTTTATTTGTTTTTTTGCTAAGATAATCCCTCATAGAAAAATCCATTTTGATCTTTATGAAATATATTCAGAATAAATATCTTTAATCATCAAGTAAGTCTTTCTTTGCTTAATCAGAAATAAAAGGATTGATTGTGTTTGAACTCAAAATGAATATAATCTACCAGATGAATCATCATTTGTTTTAGTCAATCTTTCAATGACTTAATCAATATTCAACATCCTCGATATTACTAAACTTTCCATAATAATTTGGTGTAGAAAAAGTTCTCACTAAATGATGTTTAATAAATAATTTCTCATCATCTTCAACAATTTAAAATGTTTAATATGATAAATGTTTATTTTTGTTTCTATAGAAATATGACCTAATATCTGTAACAAATAAGATCAAGATTATGGTGTATTAAAAAATCGTATAACAACTTCTGCATCAAATATATGAAGTAAATGTTTAGTTTATTAAGCTAAACTTCTTTTGATAAGAGAAAAATAACTAATACTTGATTAAAATAAAAAGAAATAATCAGGTCACATAGATAAAGTTCAATTTGTTATTCTTCAAATGGTCATTTTTTCATATTTTCTGAAAATTTTTCTTTATTAGTTTTTGTTTGTTCCTCGTCATCATCGTCTTCGTCTTATGTTAATGATTTAATTGCTTCAATCTCTTCATTTTCTTGTAGAGCACGCTTTTCAATAACTAGTCGAAATTCATAAACGTCATATTCAAATGCATCTTTATGTTCTTGATTATCCACTACTCTAAATACAAACTTTTATTTCTTATTTTTAACTGAAAAGATTAATCGATCTTACTGTTGAAAAATTTGTGCAATAGAACGAATTAAATCATATTTCAAGTCCTTCAGGAGCATACGAATATAATTAATAATCCTTAATTGAGGGTCAGACGATGCATTCCCATATAATCCTAAAAATTGATTTTTTTCAATAAATTTAAAATACAGTAAAACCTGTGTAATGTGAACACCATTGGTACTTAGGAAAATCGTTCAGTATAGCGAAGTGTTCATAAAGGAGGAGGTCAAGCAAATTTTATTCTAATCATCGGTTTTATCCCATTGTGCTTTAACTTAAATATTTTTTATTAATTTATCTACTGTTTTTTTTACTTTTAATAATTGATAGTTCTTAAATAGTTACATTTTAAATAGTACCTCCAAGTCCTATAGGTTTAAAAAAATCTCGAATAGATAATTGTTTAGAACAATTTGAATCTAAATAAATATCAATCAATTTCGATTGTAGTTGTGTGACGAATAAATGTAATTCAGGATATTGAGTAGTTGACAATAAGTGTAGTCGTCGCACCATTATAATTGCTTCTGATAATGATGGTGGATGTTCAATATTTGTATCATCATCATTACTTGTATCATCATTCCTCATACCATTAATAGCTAATATCTTCTCACTTTCATCGTTTCACTGATTAAACACAGGCACATCATCATCGATGCTCTAAAACATTCAAAAGTAAGATTATTGAGGATATTTTATTAAATGCTATAATGTAATCATTTAAGACTCACGACAAAATCGACAGCAGGCATAATATCACCATCAATTGTAATATGTTTAAGTACTTTATTAAGTTCATTTAGATATTTGATTTTATCTGTAACGACATCTTCATTTTTAAATTGTGCTTGTGCTAATGTTGAATCTTGAGAAACAACAGGTAAATCAAAACTTGCTTGTTTAAATGTATTGCGTAAAGTCATTTCTGTGATCGATTTCCAAGCAGTATCGATCCAACAGATAGAATCTAATGCTGTTATTGCAACATCATCAGCTGAATGAGAACCACCATCATTTGCAATTATATGCTGGACAAGTTGTCTTCGATAATTCGCTTTAAATGTCCGAATCACCCCTTGATCCAATGGTTGAATAATGGCGGTAGTGTTATCAGGAAAGAATTTGAGGCTAATGTTGTGTAGCTTAATATCTGGTGGATGTACTGGTGCATTATCTAAGAATAATAAAATCTTCCGTTTCTGTTTTTGCATATTTGTATCGAATTCGTTCAACCAATTGGTAAATAAGGTACTATTCATCCATGCGGACCTATTGTAACACCAAGTAACAGGCAGTTTTGAGATATTAAGATTTCGAAAACACCTTGGTCTCGCAGCTTTACCTAAAATTAACGAAAAGATCGTATGCACATTAGAAAAAGAATAAACGACTACTCACCTATAACCATTGGTTTTAGTTTATGGGTACCGGCCCAATTGGCACAAAGCAAAAAAGTAAATCTATCTCTAGATTTCTTACCACCTCTACAATCATCAGCATTAACCACCAGAGATCGATCAGGCATGAGTTTAAAGAAAAGCCCGGTTTCATCACAATTATAAATATCAACAGGGCTATAATGCTCAATAATTTGGGGTAAACGTACTTTCCAATCTTTAATTGTATGTACATCAACAGCAGCTCCTTCGCCAGAAATAACACGAAAATTAACATTATAACGCACTCTAAAACGTTCTAGCCATCCGTTGCTTGCTTTAAAACCTGATGAATCATTTAATTCTTGTGCAACTTTTTTAGCATAGGCTTGCGAAATTGGACCTGAAACAGGAATTTTCTTCGCTCTTTGTGAGACAAACCATTCGTATACACTATCATTAATCGATTGACCAAGATCATTGTGAATCTTACGTTTTACTTTTTTGTTCAAATTAGATTCATAATCAGAAATATATTCTTGTTTTCTTTTGAGGATATTTGTGACCGCACCTATTGAAACTCGAAATCTATTACCTAATTCACGGTGAGATAAACCAAGTTCTTTATCCTTAATTAAATTGATTTTTGTTTCAAGATCAAGATCATTTCGAGATACCATATTTAAGAATCAAATGTTTAGAAGCTGTCTAATGAATTTGTCTATTGTTGTATTAACTCTTTTTTTCTTTCTTCACCTTTTCTCTTTCTTATCTTCACTGAGCTGAGTCCCACAACCAATCGATTGTTTAGAAATTATTTATACATCTCCAATCATATAATTTATCTCGTGGCGTCCTCCTTCGACGTTCACATTCACAAGGTTAATATATACAGTTGGTACAAAAAATTGCGTTCATATTCAGAATCAAGAGGTGTTCATAAAGGAGGAGTGCAAATACAGCAAAAATTGCTCGGTCGTCCCAGAGGGTCTTCAGTTAGACAGAATGTTCATAAAGGAGGAGTGTTCAGAGAGAGAGGTTTTACTGTATTAGTCTACTGACTGATGCGAATGGATCATTACATTATTTCTAAAATGAATTCACTTATGCACTTGTGTATTTAATTTTTTAATCTGGGGGAAATAAAAAAATAATTATACACAAAAATTAGGCATAGCTTACAATATTTTTGTATAATGATTTCGTCCTGGAGCTTTTTAATTTTTTAAGTCTACTCATATTATTCACTAACGACATCATTGATATCTACAGATATGTCAGTGATTCTACAACGTTTCTATAGCAACCCCTCATTATGAAAAAGATCAGCTAGCGTCATCTATTCATTTTCTACAAAGCGTCAGCACAATATTTATCACACCTTGTTCCTCATTTTACGCTGATTCTAAATATATATAAATCTTAATATTTGGACCAGTTTGAAAAAAATATTCACTCAGTGCATTTAGAAATAACCACTAAAAAATAAGCGTCTTCGTTTCATCAGCCAGTCGATCATATATGTTACGGCTGAAGTTAGAATTCAGCCCAATTTAGAATTCGTCTGGACGAATTATGAATTGGGCTGAATTCTAATTTCGGCCATAACATATGAATAGAGCAGCGGGCGATAGAGGAAAAAGATATAGAGTGCCTAACCCTAATTCGAGCACGGATTTTTTTCTTTTTAGAAAAAAAACGTATAACTTCTCTACCCAACATCCGGTCGAAGTACTTTTTCGTTTCCGGAATAGAAAAAATATTTCTCTATCTTTCTATCAATTTTTTTTTCAAAAAAAAAATTTTTTCAATAAACAGTACTCGTTGGAAAGAGACCTACTCAAATTTTCTTTCCGTTCTGCTTCACTCCTAATTCGATCATTCCAGCCATTTTGATAGGAAAGGAGGGAGGCGGATAAGGTCATTTTTTCGCCCCCAATATTTTAACATGAAAATCATATATTCGTAATCAGCATCAAATTCTGAACAAAATTGTATATTTTATTTTTTCAAAAAAGCAATTTTTTTTTTTTATAAATTTTTTTCTCCCTATGACCCCTCAGGAATGTCAAAAAAAAAAATTTCTTATATTTCTATAAAAGATATACCATTCGATTCAGAATTTTGTGCTGATCACAAATATCAGGTCAAAAACGGAAAAAAGATCGAGTCTTGATGAAAATTTTTTGAATTATGTACAGATGGCGCTAGTTACTTGATTGGAATTTATGTCGTTTTTGATGCACTATGTTAGGTTTGGAGACAATGAAAACTGGCTAGATATACTTAAATCATCGACGCTTATAGAATATAGCATTTTGAATGCTCAGAATGTCGTATTTTATTGTGAAAATTTGCACTGAAATTAAGATCCAATGGAAAATCTAATGATTTTTTTATTTAAATTTTCTCTATCATAGTTAGTATATGAGGTAGCAATCTGAAAATTATATCACATATACTTTTTTGAATACTCTATCGAATTAATCTACTTTAATTAGAAAAAAAAATATGCTTTTTTTTTAAATCTTGTTTTAACCATCTCGACTCACTAGAAAAAGCTTTATCAA